ACTATAAAAATCCACCGGTCAGTCTTCCACAACAGAAAAGCTTCCAGACCAAATGCCATCCTTGTTGATGAGAAACTCACTGTACCTAGCTCCGCCTTCCCCACTGTACTTAGCTCCGCCTTCCCCACTGTACTTAGCCCCGCCTCTCTCCCATTGTACCTAGCCCCGCCTCTCCGACTCAAGTATGCTCAACGTATTTCACTGTCATCTCAAACTTAACGTGCTCTAAACAAGCTTTTGATTCCTTAGCCTCAGCGAAGGTCCCCACGAAACAGGTGCTAAAGATTTAGTGGATGCTGTCATCCCAGGCAGGGAGAACATGGAAGTTGAGAGATCTGAAATTACCTAGAGATTTCAAATTACCAGGTTGGCCACAGTTTCATGAACACAGACACAGCCTGTCCCTGGGCCACGTGGCTGGTTGGCCTTCAGAAGGAGGAAGGCAGAGCGATTCACTTCAGCTGCATCCATGCTTTCATCTCTTATGCGCCCACTGCTTTATTGAGGTGATATTTTATTTCCAGGTGGCTGGCTGGCTCTCTGGGGCCTTTTTGTAGTTTATGGGAAACAGGCTCCACTCATTGCTGTGTAGCAACCACAGGAAGTAAAATGGCGCTGCGTGCAGAGCTGGTTCTTCCAGTAGCCTCTCCAGTGGAGATTGGAAGGCGAGGAGAATGTGACCAGGTAATTGTCTCAGATTCTACTCTAGACCATGATGTTAGCACCTGCCAGGTCATGGAGGCCAGAAGCCCAGGGGACATTATTGAAACCCTTCTCTTCTTATATCCCACCCCTACTCCTTCTGAAAAAGTCAACTTCAAGACCTTCTGGCCGTTCTCTGCTGTCTAAGTGAGCCCTGCTTATGATGAGGGACTTGCCTTCCAATTATTGTTGTAAATCTTTTTAAACCCCAAAGCAGGGTTGATGTGACGTCTCTGTGGTTAAATGTGCTTGGTCACCAGACCTGACGACCTCTGCCTGATTTGGGGATCCAATTATAAACTGTTCTCTGACCTCTACACACGCACCGCAGCTTACGTGTATGGTCCCCCACGCACGAAAACAGACAAACAAAAAAATAAAATAATTTCAACAGTTAAAAATGAACAAAACCGAGCAGGATGCTTCATGCCTGTAACCCCAGTACTAGAGAGGTTGAAGCAGGAGAGTTGTTGTGACTTTAGGGCCAGCCTGGGCTTCCATGTAAAACCATTTCAAACAATAACAAAAGCAAACAAGCAAACAACACTCCCCATAACGGCAACCATTCTATGTTGACACATGCACTTCAGTACCTTCCGGTTGCCCTCTTCCCCTCAGCGCAAGGGTCCACCCGCCACTACCTTCCGCCACTACCTTCCTTTGTTATTTCTTCCTGTTCACTATGACGTTTTGTTTCCGAAGGTCTTTCTTGCGTTAAGACCTGCACGTTTGCTCATAAACTATCTGCTCTTTTTCCATTGGTCTGTGTTGCGGGTTGCCCTCCTCTGCAGAGAGGGCCTTCCTGTCTCTAAGAGCATCCTAGTACTGGACACACATTCTGGGTTTCATTCTTTACTCTCTGTGCCCCCCACTGAATGTGAGTTCTCTAAGATCTGGAGCTGTGTGTCCCTGGTCACCCAGTTCTAGGTCAAGGCTAGTCCCAAGCTAAGGCAAAACAAACTTTTGTTGAATGCTTAAGTGCCTTCTGATCCCTAGAAACTGGGGACTCATGTGAAAAATGCTCAGTTCTTATTGCGATAACTTTTTGTTCAGTTCCTCGGAGGTTCAAAGCCCCGCTTTAATCACGTTAAGCACATGGAGAACCCCGTAATCCTGATACATACAACTATGAGTTTGTGAATTGGGATGCTATGTGGTCTGAAACATTTTTCTAAGGCAATCTCCTTATTATAATAAGGGATGAATCAGGACAAGGACGCGCACAGGAAACAAGGATTCAGGAGCAGGAAGGAGGAAGTGGAAGACGGGGTGGGGGCAGTGAGACTGAGCAGGGAAGACAACGGGAAACTCTGGGACGTGGCTGGGAAATGTTCATGCAGTAGGCTCGCTGTGAGAGTTTAGCTGCAGCGACCACCGAACCACCGCGCTTGACGTTTCCTGGCAGAGCCTCGCGTTTATTATTATCTTTCCACCAATGGAGCATCAGTGCAGAAGAGGAACCGGGGGATGGAGTTTCTGGGATGGAGGGACCAACGTGCACTGGGTGGAGTTTAAGGTGGGAAGAAGTGCTGTGAGGTAGAACTCGCTGTTCGTGGAAGAAAAGGCAGAGAAGGAATCTGGAGGAGAGAACAAACACTTTTTTTTTTTTTTTTCTGAAAGGAATGCCGGGGTCTGAATCTGGAGGAGGAATTTAACTAGCTGTATCCCCGGGATCCTTGTAGAGGCTCCTGCCTTCCACTAGCCACAGTAGAGCCAGGAGGATGTAATCATTGGCTTTGATTAAAGAGGTGGGTGGTGTGGGCGGCAGGCGACGGGAGCCGCGGTGGTGCGAAGGGGCGGCGCCAAGGCCGTGCGAGGAACCAATCAGCGGTAACTCTGGATTCTTGGGGGCTCCTCAGAGGCTCTGCAGCGGTGGAAGGGCCGGAGCTGCTGGCTGCCTCCTCCGGTGCAGCCTGCATTCAGGCGCAGCGGCACTGGGGACGCCGCGCTGATCCCCGGCTCAGACTGCCACTGTTGCGACCCTCGAGCGAATGTGTCCAGAGCCTAGAAAGTGATCCTGAGGGGCAGAGGGCCACTGGGTGGGTGGGTGGGTGAGGGTTCGGAAGGCAGGACTGAAGGTAGGAAGCGAATTGGGTGACTTGCTTCTCACGTTTGTCCCAATTAGCGCCAAGTTGGCAGACAACCCACAAACCCACGACGTCTTTGCCCGTCCGCCCCCGCCCCCGCCCCCGCCCCCGCCCCCTCCGTCGCATTCTCTGCATTTCAGAATATTCTGACTATAAGAAAACTTCAGCTCCCCTTGCTAGGTTCAAGAGAAACAGATACTCGGCACCACCTTCTCCCAGTAACACTGTGTGGATGAATCCCGGAGATTCTCAACTGCAGAGCTCTTACCAAACTGCACCCTATGGAGTGCGGCTGGCGTGGGGGGTTGAGGGGCTAGGGTGGGCTGGGCAGAGAGGCCTCTGGGGGAGAGGCGGGGTGGCGCGGAGGAGCGAGATGCAGCAGGAAGATTGCCTGTGTGACTGCATCTAAAGCAGACGGGTCCAAGGAGTTCTGCCAGGGACACCACCGCCTGCATTGCGTCGGACCTGACCATCTCCAATGTGAAATTCCCGGGGAAGGTCGCTCGCGGCTGAGGGCCGTGCGTGGGCGGAGCTGCGGGCCACGGGGAAAGAGGAGTTGGTGGTGGGCTTTTCGAGGAGGGGTGGTGGTGACAGAAGAAAAGCTGTGCAGGCAAGGATGGGAACTGAATGACAACCCCCCTCTGCCAAACCACCCCCTCGTATTTTCCATCTACCTCCTCGCTCCTGCCCTCCCCCGCCCTCCCCAACCCACGCCCGGGTGGGCCAATCGCTGCTCCGCATTCCAGGCGCTTTCTCAGGTTTCTGCTGATCTTGCAGCGCCCAGAAATGGACCGAGCGGACCTGCGGCCGCACGCTCCCTGCCCCACTCGGTGCTGCTGAAGGCTCGCAGCGCACCGCGGAACGAGGTCCGTGCTGTGCTACGGAGAGCGCAGGTTACCCGAGAGCCATGTAGAGCCAGGCTTTGAGCCGCCCGCCTCCCTCCGGATCGAATCAAGGGCTCCGGTAGTGTTCGGAGGGGGCGAGAGTGCAGCTTATCGCCATTTGCTTGGGTGACTCGGAAGAAGGTGGCTTTTTTTGTTTTTCCCATCCCGCATCCTCCGGGACTCTCTGGCCCAGAGAGAGGACAGCGTCTCCAGGTTGCTTGCACCGTGTGAGGATGGGGGTAGGGTACGGACGTTTCCCCGGCAGCTGCTCGATAAAACGATCGGACTTCTGAAAGGGGAAGGACGCGAACCGCGAGGGGCCGGGAGCCTCTCGCATGCTGCTGCGGTGGTGGCGGCTGGCTGCTCACTCCGGCTGCTGCAAAGGCGACCTGCCGCATTCAGACTCTCTCCACCGACTCAGCACCGCCTCTGCACCAAGCCAGCCCGCCAGGTAGGAAGCTCCCTAGTTTGGGGCTGCAGAAATGGAGGTTGGGGTGACAGGGTGGGGGAGGCCGAGGGTGCGGGGTTCCTTCCCGGGACCCGCAGCTCCTCCAGTATCTCTAAGCGTTTTTCCGATCTCCAGTTTAACGAAGTTGTAAACAGATCGGCTGTTGGGCGTTGGGAAAAGTGGGATGGAAGATTTCCAAACTTGGATTTCTGGGTGTCTGTTGTGTGTCTGTCTGTGAGTATGTGTTAACCCCAGTAAAAGTCCGGTGTGTTCTACAAAAGGTAGTAGTCTGTGCTCTTCGGTGTCTATAGGCTCGTCCCATCAGAACACTTCTGATTTTCTACCCTCGTATCACTTTTTATTTCTCTGCAGCGTCCATCGATCGCCCCGGTGGGAGCTTAGAAGGCGGCAGGCGAAGAGGGGTAGGAGGGGGGAGAGCCAAGGAGCAGCAAAGTGGGTGACAGGCCTGGGGATCTGCTGAGTTGGCACTGCACCGGGTCCTAGGAGGGCTGCAGGAGGGGAGGGGATCGGGCAAGCACCCGAAGCAATGGCAGGTATGCGAAAGATAATCTGAGCAGGAAGAAAAACCCATTCACCAACTCAAAAACAGAGCATTCCCCCCCCCCAGAAAAAAACAAACCCAAGAGTAGCAAAAAACGCTTCACTGGGGGCCCTCAGGCGAGAGGAGTTTCCAAATTGGGTAAAAGGCAGAGTGGAGGAGGGGAGGTGATAACTAGCAAAAGTTGTAGACCTCTGAACCTTCTGGCTCTGAAGCCCCTCCCTGTGAGCGTGGGGGAGACTCACTCTCCGGTGGGGGGGCCGCTTGGGTCCCCCCCACCCCTACTCCTTCGCTCCTTCACACCCCGGGCTCTCTCCTGGCCTCCTACCCCTACACCCTGCTTCCATCATGACGGTGATGTCGGGGGAGAATGCGGACGAGGCTTCGGCCGCTCCAGGTCACCCCCAGGATGGCAGCTACCCAAGGCAGGCGGACCACGACGACCACGAATGCTGCGAACGCGTAGTGATCAACATTTCCGGGCTGCGCTTCGAGACGCAGCTCAAGACTCTGGCACAGTTCCCCAACACGCTGCTGGGCAACCCGAAGAAACGCATGCGCTACTTTGACCCCCTAAGGAATGAGTACTTCTTTGACCGCAACCGGCCCAGCTTCGATGCCATCCTTTATTACTACCAGTCCGGGGGCCGCCTTCGCAGGCCGGTCAACGTGCCCCTGGATATGTTCTCCGAGGAGATTAAATTTTACGAGTTGGGCGAGGAGGCCATGGAGAAGTTCAGGGAAGATGAAGGTTTCATCAAGGAAGAGGAGCGCCCCCTACCAGAGAAGGAGTACCAGCGCCAGGTGTGGCTGCTCTTTGAGTATCCAGAGAGCTCAGGACCTGCCCGGGTTATCGCCATCGTGTCCGTCATGGTCATCCTCATCTCCATAGTCATCTTTTGCCTGGAGACTCTCCCTGAGCTGAAGGATGACAAGGACTTCACGGGCACCATCCACCGCATCGACAACACCACAGTCATCTATACGTCCAACATCTTCACAGACCCTTTCTTCATTGTGGAAACGTTGTGTATCATCTGGTTCTCTTTTGAGCTGGTGGTGCGCTTCTTCGCCTGCCCCAGCAAGACAGACTTCTTTAAAAACATCATGAACTTCATCGACATTGTGGCCATCATTCCTTATTTCATTACCCTGGGCACGGAGATAGCTGAGCAGGAGGGGAATCAGAAGGGCGAGCAGGCCACTTCCCTGGCCATCCTCAGGGTCATCCGCTTGGTAAGGGTGTTCAGAATCTTCAAACTCTCCCGCCACTCCAAGGGCCTTCAGATCCTGGGCCAGACCCTCAAAGCTAGTATGAGGGAGCTAGGGCTGCTCATCTTTTTCCTCTTCATTGGGGTCATACTGTTTTCTAGCGCAGTGTACTTTGCGGAGGCGGAAGAAGCTGAGTCGCACTTCTCCAGTATCCCCGATGCTTTCTGGTGGGCGGTGGTGTCCATGACCACTGTGGGATACGGTGACATGTACCCTGTGACAATTGGAGGCAAGATCGTGGGCTCCTTGTGTGCCATCGCTGGTGTGCTGACAATTGCCCTGCCCGTACCTGTCATTGTGTCCAATTTCAACTATTTCTACCACCGAGAAACTGAGGGGGAAGAGCAGGCTCAGTTACTCCACGTTAGTTCTCCTAACTTAGCCTCTGACAGTGACCTCAGCCGCCGCAGCTCCTCTATCATCAGCAAGTCTGAGTACATGGAGATCGAGGAGGACATGAATAACAGCATAGCCCACTACAGACAGGCTAATATCAGAACTGGTAACTGCACCGCAGCGGATCAGAACTGCGTTAATAAGAGCAAGCTCCTGACCGATGTTTAAAAAGCAACAGGCAAGCAAACAAAAGCCCCAAACAAAACCCTTGGAGACTCCTGTCCCACTCTGTAGATACCTTACTAAGCAGTAGTCTTTGAATGCTTTCTTTAACTGGCAATGCATTGTTGCATTGTGAATTGGGGGGAGGGTGACAAACCTGAAGCTTTCAAGATCCATTAAAAAAAAAACAACAAAGCCAAACAAACAAGCAAAAAACAACCCAACAACCAACTATTTTCATTTTTATTTAAAAAAATGAGAAAAGAAAGAGGATTTTCTAAAACTGACTTAGATGCTGCCCATTAAGTAGTCTGTGTGAAGTAAGACTTGTGCTTTCCTTGTACTGAAGTATTTCCAATCTTTTTTTTTTAACCTAAATATCAGATGACCACTTAGGAATATAAAAATTCAAATTTGCATGGAACTCCACTTTAAAATTTTTTTTTTTTTTTTTACAAACTGCACAGCACATTCCAGATAGTGTGCTCTGTGGAACATTCTGACAGCCTCAGTGGTCAGTGGGGAAAATGCTTTCATTTTGATCAACCGAATTTCATACAAGGCTAACAAAATCCGGACTAATTAAAAATAGTTCAGAAAGCACCTTGCAGATCTATCACTGGTCCCAATCTGTTGGGATTTTCCATCTGCCCCGTTCTCCTAAATCCAGTCTATTCCCTAAGAAAAGGGTAACTTGATTAAATGAGTTGATTCATCTGTAGGGCTGCTAAGTTCTCTCAACTGCAGATGATCCAAATATAGGTGGTTGGTTGGTTTTTTTTTTTTTTTAACCAATCCTGAGCCCTGACCCCTGACCTTCAGAAGTAGATGTAAAACCTTACCTTCCTTATTGCAAGAGCACAAGAGTTAAATGGTGAGCATGTTTGAATCTGATAACATTTATTTTACAATCGCATGCCAAGAAAGTTAACCCAGACAATAGGGAATAAGCTTACGTTGAAATCGACTCCTCTAAATATAGGCCCTTTTCATTTGCATTCACCAGAAGTGCACTCTTTCATTTATTAACTCTTTTCTTAGCAACTAAAGTACTGTATTTAAATACGTACATTAGATGGGGACAATCCCTTTTCAGAGCTCAAAGCATGTTCTCTTAGTCAGCATTATGGCCTATTTGATTAAGATATACCTTGAATTAATTAATGCATGATTTCAGTAATAAAAATTAGAAAATACTAAAAATTACAAGTCTGTGGGACGGAAGGCCCAAAGAAACACTGGGGTGGGGGTGGGGTGGGGGGGACACTCCCGTCAATTTTCCTGCCTTTGCTCAGGGAAATGTCAAGCTTTCTGTGCAGGTATAGACAGAGAGAGGACCAATATGCCCATCCTTTAAGGGAAAGCTGTGGAAAACTGAATAAGTCATTAAGGTATTTAATAGACCTAAGACAAGCATTCTTTCTAGCGGAACATAAATACAAACAAACAAACAAACACAAAAAAAGGTGCAATATTGCATGGTTTCTTGGTGCATTCTTAGGATGTAAGTGATAATGCTGACCTCTTCATGCATCCAGAGCAGAGCCAATTTCTTTTTGCAGTCATGATTTGAAGTCTATAGAGACTTCGGCCCTCCCCCCACCCCCAGGCTCCCTGAAGAAACTCAGCCAATTGATTTAATACTTGCTTAGTGCCTTTATCTGTACCCACAGTGAACTGCAGAAAGTGCCTCCACAACTCAGCTGGGAAGTTATTTAACAGAAGGGAGAAAGGGTTGGGGCACAGACCTTTTGCTTTTCGTTTTGTTTGTTTTTTCCATCCTCACCGCCTCACTTCACCACTGTGAGAAGACCACTCCACTCTCAGAG